TATATTTTCCTCTATCATTTTTCAACTCGGTCTGATCTTGAAAAATTATAAATATAAATTCGAGAACCGTAGCAGAGTTAAGTAGGACTTGCAGTTCGTACCATATCGATCTCAACTGTAAAGCAAAACTCGTTATCATTCTTCGAGTGATGGCAGCCCTGTCTTTCGACTTAACGAGTTGCCTCGCGACCAACGAAAAGTTCCGGTGAACGTGTAACGCGAATACTGTGTATCTTTCGCGTTGCAAAATCCATAATGGGACTTAATGGAGCTGACTGTCAGTGCAGAGTTTCTCCTTGTCTCGGTGGCAGACTGTGACTGGACAATATGTGCTCGGTAGTCATGCCGCCACCGTTATTTGACAGGACGTGTCCGCGCACACGTGGACATACGTACAGACGATGTATTCTATGTATCGTAAATGCATGTCAAAACGGTTGAAATTGCGCGCTGTGTGTCAATTGTGATAAGTAAAATTGTAATTAACACACAGCCAAAAGTATCTAAGAAATACACCATTTATATTTTACTACTTGTATTTTTTTTTTTTTTTTACAATACTCCAAATTTATTATTATTTCAGGATTGAATATTCCCTTTGCGATGACAATCGAACAATTGGCGATCTCTATTCTTTTCAACAATTCTGCAGCAGCGAGTGTCAAAGTCAAGCCATTCTCAGAGGTCCGGTGTTTTGACACGATGGCACCTCCAAGGATAATCCTTTAAACGGCACTGACGGGTGGTCGTCGCGAGTCACCTTGCTTGCAGAACCTACCTTGTCGCTTCTGCTTTTAATCCTGCGGGCCAATCTGGCACACGAGCATTTCCTGCCGTTTCTCTAGGCCAGCAAAGTCTGACGGTTAATCCAACGAAAGTCCGAGAGTCTCCTGGCACGAACAGTTTCTCTCTGTCCTCATGAAATTAACGTACATATCTGAACATGTGGGAATTGATTGGATGTCGTGCATCTAAAAAATATGAAAAATTATCTCATAGTAATCAATGATACTCATAGCATCGGTGTAAAGTTTAGCGTAAACTCGGATGATATAACTTTTTCATGGAGAAACATCTGGCACGTATTCTTCTCTATCTTCGAACACAATGCCATAATTGTATTAGAATATACATAAATACTGTTAGAAGTTTCAGTCATATGTATGTATGTTCCATGACGATGAGCATCGTATAACCTGATATTCAAACAGAGATTCGATTGTCGGACCATCGTAGAAATGTGTGAAGCTTAAATCGGACTATTAGGTTCGTGTTAGGTTTCCAATGATTGGAAATTGAAACCTAACAGTACATGTAATTTCGAGCATGGCTCAAAATTGAGAAACTTATAAAAATTTAAATTATCAACAAAAGAAAGTTAATCTCTTGATTTGTAACAATCGTTTGTCATGTTCATTTAATTCAATTCCACTTAAATGTTAGTTTAATGAATTTTATTTCTTAGCAGGACAAGAGAAACTGAAATGAAGAAATAAAGAGGTGGAAGAAGAAGAAAATTATTATCAGCTACCACGGCCTTTCCAAGGCTCACGTTTTCCACGGATGAACCTTTGTCTTCATTTCTCGGCATCCGGTTCCGGTCCTTATCTTACGTTACACATGTAACCTTCTATGCTATTTGGTCCATTGTTGGCCACATGTGCCTCGTCTCAAGAGGTTTGCTTATGTTGGCCCACCTAACATAGCAAAGCTATGCCGAGACTCGAGTGTAAACTCCGCCGACAGACCGATCCTGGAATTCGATTGCATCTAATCGCTCGCTGGCAATGATATGACTCTATTTAAGTAAGCGTAACTCACTGCATGGCGAACAACTATTTCCAATAATCCCCTATTTCCGGTGAAGTACAACGGCAACGTGAAATCAATTCACAGTAGGAAAAAGAATTTCATTCGTATTTTTTCGTTTGTAATTATTTAATATTATTTTACTCGTTAGCGTTGTATTTGATAGCTTCAGTTAAGTAATCCAAATTTGATAAAAATACCAATTATATAATATGTTCTTCTTATTTGTTCACAAAGATTTTTAATTAGACAGTTTGATAACAAACGCTGCTATTCAAGACAGAAACTGCTTTCCAAGAATATGGTTACCTAAGTGCATGCACATGTATACGAGATGTCATCATAGAAAACAAGATTTCCACGAGATTCGTGATCCTGTGGTTTCCGGATCGACAGAGCGGACGGTGTTCATCCTTGCGTGAGTTTGAAACTCCTGGAATCTCGTATAAATTTTCTACTGAGTTTGTGGTGGAACGTATCTAATACAAGTTGATGTTAACTGCTGGTTAATCTGGTTAATCTTTGTAAAAAAATCGTTCAAAGTGACGAATCACACGCTTTCTTCTATTCGAATCTCCTTCTTCTGGAGGCAAATTTTTATAAATGGAGACAAACTACCATTAGACGCATTCTTTCTAATTGCATTAAAATATAAGTCTAAATTTTGGATTGAAGAAAACAACTCTATATAAAAGTCTCTCAGTGACAGGAGAATTCTTTCTCAAAGGTACCTACTACTTCTGAAAGATACGGTAGAAACAATTTCTATAATATTTCCAATCTTTATCATCGTCGCTAATAACGGCGTAAGTACGTGCAGTTGATGTGACGTTGAAACCTATTAAAGGAAAAAAAGAAAAGTAGGAAAAAAAAGAAGTTTTTTTGAGTTGCGATCTTTAAGTGAGCGTATCTTTCGACCGGTTTCGAATGTCTCTCGAGTAACAATGAAGTGACACAAAGGCAGAAGACCGAACGTCAAAATCCAACGGAGGCTGCCGATCAGTCAGCAACATCTAATAAACGAGTAAATAATTTCGGTCACGTACCACTAGCGGGTACAGTCACAATGGCTGCTCCTTAAATAGGATTATATTAAGCTGTTTCACCAGCGATGAATGGCGAGTCAAATGGAGGATCGTCGAGGATGTTTTGGTAGGCGCGACTACGTGAGCAGTCGATGCCAGTGCCGATGCTGTGCCACCTTGGAGCAGTACTGACACACGAAGAACACGAATACGAAGAAGAGGAAGAAGGTGGTTGACAGGTGAATGGTCATAGGCATCATCGTCGTCCCTTATCCACTAGCTTTCCCACGTCGCGTTCTGCACAACTAAAAATCGCTGTCCTTTCTTTACGACGCTTTTCATAGCCCCTTTTTTTTAATTCTAAAACTTTGCGCAAGTTTCGAGAATGGTGTACTACAGAGGATGTAGTAGAAAGATTAGGCTGATTATGTCTCATACGTGTTACCACACCTTTAGTATGTTAGACATGTATAGAGTAATGCAAAAATACAAGTTAATATGTATTGTGTACACGTACGATTCCATTAATGAAAATTGAAAGGAATCTTTTTTTTAGAAAAATATTCTCCAAGTCTATAAGTAATTTCGTTTAACGCAGAAATTTTGGAAATTCTCTGAATAACCTAACTACAAATTAGCCCTGAACGTTTCGGCGAAAAGGCCGGTATATATCGAGGTTTCATATATATCAGGGTGAGTGTACCGTTAAACTTTCATTTTGTACCCGTACTCTGTTACTTATTTGCTCGGACACGTACGTTTCGATTGAACCTCCGCCCATAAAGTAGTGAGCTTTCATCGGAGGACAAGGTACCAGGACGATCCGAAAATTTCGACGAACTATTTTAAAGGCGCGACGACGATTTAAAAAGCCCGCCAATAGGAGATTCTCGACCTGTCGTTGGATCGCCGTTCTTTGTCGTCGAATTATTTTAGCGGCCGATATTTCCATCCGTACTGCCACCTAAGCGAGGTTCCCGAGCCAAAGTCAACACAGAACCGGCATCCTCCTTCTCCCTTGCTTGCATCCCCTTTCTTCCCTTCACGCTTTTCCCCATCCATGAACATCCAGAAATGAAACAGAATTCATGGACAGCGTATTTAGCGACTTCTCGTGTATGCGCGTTAAGGGAATATCATTGATATTCCAAGATTTCCAAACTTTCATTCGAACTGAGATAGTGATAGTGGTAGGTCACATTGGTTTCAAATTTTACGTAGCATTTATGGCTTTTTCTTTATTTAAATTCTATCACAAGATTTGATAAGAGTACCACTCCTTCTTCTCTACGCTACATTCAGGTATTGATTGAATTTTCACTGATTTCTAATCGCCAAGTCTATGA